CCCCAAAACCCCAAAACCCCAAAACCCCAAAACCCCGTGAATTAAGAATCAAGTTGAAACTTTACTTTAAGTTTGAAATTACGTTGTTCTTGATCTGGCTCAGTCGCAGTCTTTTGAAGGCAGGTCGAAGAGAAGAACTTATTCATAGCGTGTTTGTGCGCTGAGGGAAGCAGAACTTTATCTTGCTTGAGTTTTGGCGAGGGTTCAAGGAGTAAAGGGAATTTTGGTTTTGTAAATTACGAGTCTTTTTAGATGAATTTTCGATGCTGTTTTGGTATAGTTTTGGGTAACTTTTCTTCATCATAGGGCTCATTTTAGATAATGATTCTGGTGTGCGGTTTATGAGAGAGAATTTATTGTCTTTGTTGTGGTTCACTGGAGTTTCTTCAATTTTGATGTTTCCTTCATTTCTATTTAGTTTTGGTGGGATAGCAATACGAGAAGGTACTGGGCGATGATAAGAGTCTGTAGATGATTTTCTGAAAGTGAAATAGAGCTTTTCATCACTATTTTTGCGAGTTTTAGGCTGATTAAGCATTCCTTTTGTGTTGGGGGTGATGCTTCTAAATTCCATATTCATGAATTTATTAATCACTGGAGATTTTTCAGGCAAATTTTTGCCAAATTGAGACCATTCCACATCAAAAACATCTTTTTCAGTTGGGATTTCGCTCTTATTTATCGAAAATGCCCTTGGAATTTTAAGAACAGGGAGTCAGTTAGGTTTACAATCTTCATCTCAGTCAAGATCTTCAGTGGGAGTGTCTTCTCTGAAACTTTCTTGATCAAGCTCAAAATTGGAAGTTTCATATGATTGGTCATTATAGGCAAATGGGCATCGAATAAAATCATCAACCTCGTCATGAAAGTCAGTTTTCTCTCCAGACTTAAGCTTCTGATCGTATTGAGAGATATTTGAAATTTTACCAAAATTCTCAGAATCATTATGAATAAGATTATGAAAATTCTCTAAGTATTCATTATAGTCTTGCTCAGACTGAATATAATTGTCTTGACTGATTAATTCTTTACTCAGCTCCTCGTCACAGAACAAATCTTCTTCTTGATACCTTACTTTACTTCTTTGCACAACAGTAATTCCTTGGTTTGGAGGTTGGTTAAAATTCTTGGGTATAAATTTTGGAGGAACATTTGGCAAATTATTCATCACATTGATATCCTCAGCCACTGGTGACACAAAACTCAGTTCAACATTCTGCCCTATCACTGAAGGAACTCAGCTAGTATCTGAGTTATTTCCCTTTGGTTAAAGAATGTTCATAGCAACTAAAGATGACCTATAGTGTACCTTTCTTCAGAGAGATTTAAGTCTCATTTTTCTCCAAAAGTTGGTTGCCTGCTTCTCTTGAAAGCTTGATTATTCAGCTGAGCATTTTCCTTTTCAGCTAGAAATAAATTCACATTTTAGCAAAATGATGGTTTCACATAAAGGGTAAAATACAGTATAAATCTGTTTGCTTTTAACTATTATGCAAAGATTACCTCAATGATTTCTATGAACATCCTGGGCAGCCTGAATAAAGTTCAGAAAAGATACCTCTATTGATAAAAATATGCAAACTTACTGCGTACGATCTCCTTAGGAGATGATTCATATCCATCATCTTCTTCTCAATAGTCGCTATTTGTATTAAGAGTATCAGAGTCTTTTTGACTATCAAGGAGCGGGTTTCAAACGATTGATGACATTTGAAATTTTAAATCTGAAATATTTTAAATTATTCGTTCCCATACTGGGGTTTTGGGGTTTTGGGGTTTTGGGGTTTTGGGG